ATATGTATTATATATAATAAATATATTATATATAATGTTAATGTTTATAATGTTAAATATATTACATACATATGTTAAACATATGTTAAATATATTTAACATATATTACATTATAAATTATTATATTACATTATATTACATTAATATATTATAAATATATTACATACATATGTTAAATATATGTTAAATATATTACATACATATATAATATTACATACATGTTTACATATACATAATATTAAATGAAATGTTGAAACACCTATCAGAGTGTGTGATTATTAATAAATGAAATGTAATTGACCAGGTTCGGTAATGCACGTAATGCAAACTTCGATAATCAACCGCCACCGGTATGCAGGCCGCCGTTGCTTGAGACTCGGCCACCATTTCTTCTCGGAGTACCGAACAATATGCAAAATCAACAGATCATTTACCAGCAACAAAATTCTCAAGTACAATCTTTCCAGCATTACTCACCGAACGGTTCGCTCCAAGGTCCATCGCATTTTGTAGATAATAGACCGCAATTCAACCCTAACCAATTTCAAAGTCAAGTGGGCCCTAGAATAATCGGGCCGAGGTTAGATTACGGGCCCCGAGTTGGCTTGCCAGGATCGCTTCAAGGACTTGGCCACCCACCGTCTTACAATCACCCATCCAGTCAACCACCGTACATCCAGATTCAACCGGGGCCAACGGCAGCCACGGGCCCGTTTCAAACGTCAGCCGCCCTCATGCAAGAGGGTCCTAACCCAGTACGACTGATGCAAAACAGTCAGGGCCCGTTGTTGCAAGGGAATCCCGGAGGAACGATTCTTGGAAGTCTGAACTCGGCGGTGCCTGGAACTGGATCGGTGGCACCGTTGTTGCAGGGTAATCAACCCTTACCTATGCAAGCATATCCACGACAAGCTACTTCCCAGGGGCCGCTCATTAATCATCCTAACGTCAATCAAATGCCAAATCAATCGCCCTTTGAGAACAGACCACCTTTCCAAGAAGCAGCTCAATTTGAAAACCGACCCGTTTACGATTCGAGGTCCGGCTATTCCGATCAAGTACCTACCAGTCAATTTAATACTAATACGTTACCTGTACCACAACAGTCCACTTCCAATGTACCCAATGTACCTTTACCTCCAGGGCACAAGATTTTAATCAATCCTCACTTTCGAGGAGCCGTTCAGTCGACGAACGACGGTAAGTGTTTCTTGGATGTGATTATTAGTTTTTCTTCAACTTTCGTCCAAGTTCCCTGTAATTTTTCTCATGATCCCTTTTTGATTTGATGAACACAACAGCAAGACTCGCATGGGATTCCAATCAACAACAAACACCCAGTTTACCATCCCAAGTTTCTTCTGGCCAGTTTTCACAGTCTACTGTCTCATATCAGAATCAAAGTTCGTACAACCAAACTCAACAAGGACCAGCACATTATCAACAGAATTATCAACAGAATAAGAGTGATGTATGTATCGCACTTATAATGTTGCATTGATCGATTAGAGCTTGACTATTTTGCACAAGACTATATAGTTACACAAATTTTCATACGCAGGATCCTTATGCATACTTTTCTGATGTGTGGCAAGAAAATAAACCGCAGAAAAATCAAACTGGAACGCCAAACAAACAATATCCTCTGGAAAGTAATTACTTACGAGATGGTAGCTATGAAACCAGTTCAAAGTATAAATCGGATCAGTGGGATCAAAAAAATAATTATTCACAGGTAGTGTACGAATTAGAAATAAATGTATCTTAAATATAAAGAACAAGCCAGGTGTTTTTAATAACAATTCCCATTTCTAGGATCATAGAGGAGTCCATCAAAATTATCGTGACAGAGATTTGTCGTCAAAAACTAGAAACGATCATGTTTCAAAAAATAGGACTTGCTCGTCAACTGTGTATCGTGAAAACTACGACCAAAATCATGTACAGAAATCTAGCAACAGATCAGTGAATACTTCGATAAGAACTAGGTTACCACAGAAAAGAGTTCCCAACTCTGTAGATAAAGCTTCACGTGATTTGAGTCCAAAGCGAATAAAGCTTAGCAATAGAAATCTCCAAGAAGTAAGAACAGTGGATACGTTAAACAACGCCAATAATGATAAAAAGGTATATGCGTACATATAATATATTGTATGTTGTACAGTTTCTTCACATTGCACAGTTTTTTAAAATGAATTTCTGTAGGATGAAGAAAATGATCCAGAAATGCAAGAATACAGAAAAAAGATGGAGGAACAGAAACGTCTTAGGGAAAAGATTCTGCGAGAAAAAGAAAATCGACGGAAAATGGCTGCAATGGAGAAACAAAATGATGAAGCTAAGAACGAAAATACATGTATGTATAAAATTTTGTGTAAATCAAATATATACAAATAATTTAGTAATTACTTGCTTGAACGAAATGAATAAATTGTCAAAGACACATTGTTAAAATAAGTTTAAAAACATTTTTTACAGATATATATATTTTTGCATTTTTTTAATCAAAGTATAAAAAATATCCTTTAAAAATAATTTCATACTTTTTATAACTCTTGTTATAACGATTAAATATTTATTTAATAAATTATATTTTATTTCCATTTAAATTATAATATATTTCATTTAAAAAATAATTAATATATAATATATATAATTACTATATTAATATAATATAATAATTATTATATATAATATATAATATATAATTACATATATAATAGTAATAGTAATTAATTTATAATAAATATAGTTATGTGTGTGATTAATATATTTTACTTCTTAGCAAATGAAAATACGCAGGATACAAAACCTATATCAGCACTTATGGGAGTAGTAAAAGATGTTTCCATAAATAAAGGGCATACTAGTATTGGAAGAGGACGTGCTCGTCCTATTAATACACAATCTACAGAGGTACATGACTAAAGATGCCATATTTTTTATTTTACTGTTATTGGTACACGAAACAACTATACATTCCTTTTTTTTTCTTTTTTTAATATATATTCTTGTAAAACTCGGTTTGATTAACAATTTGTTTTCTTGTCATGATCATTTTGGTAAGCTTTGGTAAGTTTGTTCTTAGTATTCACAGCAAATAAATTTTGTGAAATGTAATCATATCCGAGATCTATTTGTTTGTAAATTTTCTTATTATACTTTCAAATATACTGTACATAAATATCAAATAGCAACAATTTTGATATAAATATCAAATAGCAAAAAATTAAAATTTTTCTCTGTTACTTATTAAGATATATGCATTCTTTATCTTGCATTTTTTAAAAAGAGTATATACCATTTTTAATTATTTATTACTTCTTGAATAATAATTTATATATTTTCAAATGAAATATAAAATAAAAAAGAATAAATGCATATTAGATTTTCTGTATATTTTTTTACTCGTGTTTCAATAAAATATATTTTTAAATACTTTTTGTTCTTTTTAATTTCCTTTAAACTTTTATTTAAAATCATTCTATATCAAAATGTTTTATTGACTCTTTTTCATTTAATGTAATTTTTGAAACAAAATGTTAATCTTTTTAATAATTTTTTATGTTAGCATCAATCAAGTATTATTTTTTCCTTAATTATTATTTTTGTTATAGGTTCCAGAAAAATCATCATGTATACGAATTGTTCGGACAATACAAACAGTACAACCTAACGATTCTGTAGATTCTGCGAAAGATAGTAATTCTGGACATGCGATTAATCAAGTAAATGAACATACAAAAGTATTAAATTCCCAATCTGGAACACGAAGAATTGTGATTCAAAAGCCATTACTGAATACACAGAAGGTTGCCACTACTATACAAAAAACAGTGTCGAATTTACAAAAAGGTCAGCTATTAATGCAAAACAAATTAGTCAATGTCGTTCAATGTCAGTCTCAAAGAGTTGGTCAGAATCAAGCTGATGTTCTGAAAAAACTGAATACAAACATAGGACAGAAAGTTGTTGGAACTTCACAGAGAATTGTTAAACAAAAATCTCCAGCAAATTTTCAAAAAACTATTATCAATGTACAAGAAATAACCAATACAAATGCACAAAAGAGTGTTGTTACGCAAAGTAATCAAAGAGTTGTACTTCAAAAAACGCTTGTACAGCAGAAAAAAATACCGGAAATAAAAACAAATACTGTGAAGGTAGAAAATTTGGCAGCAAGTACGTCTGAAGCACAAATTAGACGTATGTGTCAAGGCATCGGGACAATTGAGGTGACTATCTTTGCATGAAAATGTTTAAGACTTTAATTTTCATTGCAAATTCGTAGCTTTAGAAATTACGAATCTATTTCCTTTTTTTTTCAATAGTCATTTTGATAGTGATTTTAATTAAAATATAACATAATGTTCTAAATATTATGTACACTCATGTTAATAATAATTACATTTTTTTTCTTTTCTTTTTCTTTCTGAAAAAAAACCAGTTTTATTAGTTTGTTATAATATATAGTTTGAAACCTATTTAAACATTGATTTTTTTTTGGAGTATTTTTTTTTCCATTAAGATATACAAATTTATTTTACGTAATAATTGACAAATTCATTGATGTAATTGTTTAAAATTTGTTATCTGAACATTACTTTGTATTCACTCAGTACGTGATAATACACTTTTTTTATGACAAAATAAAACTAAGTATTTGGTAATTACAGTATTGTATTACTTTCCTTGATACATATGAATATGACACGTAACAATAAAATTTATTTTGAAAACTTTACTAACCTAGAAGTTTAAATCACGTTTGACAATAACAAATATAGTTTATAATATATAATAAACAATATATAAAAGAACATAGCAATATAGTTTGCAACATATTGTCTGACAATGTATGTATAACTTGGTATGCCTTGCTTTCTCTGAAAAACACTCTGTTATATCATATTTTATGCCTTGAAACTGCATCTATCATTTAATTTGTTCGTTATGCTTTCAATAAGTTTCTGTAACAAATTAGCGACTTTCCTTTTTCTAATAAAAGATGGTTTTCTCAATTTTTAATAATTATCTGTTTATATTGTTCGTGTTATAGAGCATACAAATGGGTGAGCGCAGCGCAACGATTGTGTTTAAGACGCAGTCTGCTGCTATGGTGTTTCACAAGAAATACCAACGTAAAATGCTAGACCTTTCGCTGATAACCGTTCGCCTTGTACCGCAATCAAGCGGAACCAAGACTACGGCCACAGTTGTAAAAATTTCTTAAAAAAAAAAACAAAAAAAAAAGAAATATTAAACGTATTTAATCTAGTGTATTTCGATAAAAATGGAGGAAAAAATACATAGGATATTCATGTTGTGTTTACAGATAACGACATTTTATTTCATTGAAGCAGCCTGTTTGAAATTTTACATACTATTTCGTTTGAAGTATCATCCACGGATTGAAAAAACAAAACAAAACATATTTTGGCTGCAAATAAATTGTATAATATGCTTTTATAAATGAAGGTAGATAAACTTAATGGTTTAATTTGTACATATGTCAAATGTGGAATGTATATTTCATATAAAAATACACACGGTAGTATCTAATTGTGCATTTAACGACTATCATTTATTACACAGTATGTACGCTAAGCTCGTAAATTTGTAATTTTAAATGCAAGAATATACACGTGTCATTACATAAAACATATAAAATACATTTACAATGTATAATATTTTAAATTAAAAGGAATTCAAACAACTATAAAAATTGTGTCTATTAAAGCTATCTTATAGTAATGTTGTTATACTTATAAAACTATAATTACACACAAAAATTAAATTGAAGATTATAATTACTTGCTGCAATATTTGCTTAAATTGTGCATGTATTGAACAGTGTGTGTCAATCACTGTAAAGAAGCAATGATCATGTTATATTTCTCACGTTTGATATGATTTATACAAAATTGTTGGATCTTTTCTTACAAATATCATTCTAATAATTTACAGTGTGATAAGAGATACATAAAAAATACATGATACACTTTACAATATACTTATATATTGCAAAAAATAAAGTAGAATGTTACCTATAAACTAGCTAAAATATGGAATTTTTTTAAATTAAAAATTAAATATCAACTTTTACTGAGCAATAAATATTTTCAAAAACAATATTATTGTTTAATAACTCAAGCCATCATTACAATTGGCGCTATGGTGCTATATAATATATATATATATATATATATAAGATACACGATAATACATATATACACAAAATAAAAAGATCATCTAATAATTAATTTACAAATAGCGTATATGAAAATTTATATCAATACTTTTGTTTGTCGATGCTTTAATTACTCAGCAATTTGTCTTGAATTTTATTTAAATTTTACTGCTTGCTTATTTTTTAATTGAAGAAAGCAACTTAATTGTTAATTTTCATAGTAATATATAATTTCCCAATTTTTATTAATATATCATTTAATCGAATTCGATTTAATGTTTTATTCCACGCAAGAAACACATGTACATGTCTTCTTAGTTGTTGTTTATGCCGTGCTGTGACGCTACATTAGCTAAGAAATCACAGACGAGTGATTATATCATTTTAGCTTTCTAATTCAAACTTAGGTTATTTTCTTAATTATTGTGAATGTATCAATATCAATATGTCTTCGACTGAAGTTGACTGGGGTAAATATGTGGATGAGCAAGAGAAATTGTCTGCAAAGGTAATATACTCACGTGTGTGTATACACCACCGGCTTAACCTCACTTTTATTTGTTTATCACACTTTTGCCATGCATTTAAGATTTTCATTATGTATTTTCATTGTTCGATTCTCAAAAACTGAAATTATGTTCACGATAATTAACGACATTAAATTACTCGACAATATGATTCACATTAACAACAATTTCAATTTCTTTTTATTATGAAGCATTTTTGTTTTCGTTTTCTTTTTGTCCAAATAATAATAACATTGTTATGATTATTGTCAGGTGTCCAGTCTAAATATAGATAAGGAAGTTAAAGAAAACACTGTGAATACAGATTCTAAAAATGATGATGGAGTGGATGAGCAAATCTCGCCAGCAGAGAAGTCGTTACTTCAAAAGATTATACGTAAAGGTTTAGTAGAAACAACACAAGACATAGAAATTCAAAGAAAGGATCCGTCTTCACCTTTGTATAGCGTTAAAACATTTGAAGCTCTTCATCTGTTGGTATTTTTAATTATCAATTTCCTTATGTTGATCTTTTTAAAAATATTATATATTATGATATATATCGCAGTAAACCGGCATTATTGAAAGGAGTCTATGCAATGGGATTTAATGCTCCATCAAAAATTCAAGAAACTGCACTACCTACCTTACTTGCTGATCCGTAAGTTTGTTTTTAATATAAAAAAATTTCATAAATATGTTATTTTTATTATATATTTTACATAATATATTGTATCTTTTTCATTATATATTTTATTATATTATTTCATAAGTAATGAATAATGATTATTAAAGTAAACTTTTTTATAGACCACAAAATATGATTGCTCAATCACAATCTGGAACTGGTAAAACAGCAGCATTTGTATTAGCAATGCTTAGCAGAGTTGATACCACCAAAAATTATCCTCAAGTACTTTGTTTGTCGCCAACTTACGAATTAGCTATACAAACAGGAGAAGTAGCAGCAAAAATGTCTGCATTCTGTAATGAAATAAAAATAAAATATGCTGTAAGAGGAGAAGAAAGTAATATATATTATAAGTTATTTTTAAGTATCTAGAATTTTTTTTTTTACAGAAATTTATTTATCTTCTCTTTTTTATATGATTTCAGTAAGTCGTGGATCAAAGATTACAGAACACATAATCATTGGAACACCAGGAAAAGTTTTAGATTGGGCTGTTAAATTTAAATTCTTCAATTTAAATAAAATATCAGTTTTTGTTCTAGATGAAGCAGATGTAATGATCGCGACACAGGGTCATCAAGACCAATGTATACGTATTCATAAGTAATTATTTTATACAAATTAAATAAAGATATAGAAATATAAGTAATTGTTTTACCGAAATTACATAGAAATATAAAAAATGAATATTTTAAGCTATACATATTTGTATTTCTATCTGAACTTACTTAAGCACTACTTACAGGCAACTTCCACGCACATGTCAAATGATGTTTTTCTCTGCAACTTATGAACCAGAAGTGATGAAATTTGCAGAAATTATAGTTAACAATCCTTTGATAATAAGATTATTGAAAGAGGAAGAAAGTTTAGATAATATTAAACAATATTATGTAAAATGCAAGGATCTGGATGAAAAATATGCAGCTATTACCAATATATATGGTGTAATAACAATAGGACAGGCAATTATTTTTTGTCACGTAAGATATCTTAAAGTTATATGAACAAGTGTTTTATCTGTTTCAAAGTTATAAGTAATACTTTGCATTTGTCTATAGACTAGGAAAACAGCTAATTGGTTGGCTGAAAAAATGACAAAAGATGGCCACGCAGTAGCTGTTTTATCTGGAGAACTGACAGTTGAACAAAGAATTTCAGTTTTAGATCGTTTTAGAGCTGGTCTTGAAAAGGTTCTTATTACGACTAATGTTTTAGCCAGAGGTATTTATCTATTACTTTCTACATATACTCATTGCATAATTTTACAAAATATTAATTGTAAATCTATTTGAACGCTTCAGCAATTAAAAATGTTATTGGTATCGCAGGTATTGATGTTGAACAAGTAACAATAGTTGTCAATTTTGATTTACCAATGGATCAAAATCGGCAAGCAGATTGTGAAACGTATTTACACAGAATTGGTCGTGCTGGACGTTTTGGTAAATCTGGAATTGCCATTAATTTAGTAGACTCGTCGCATGCAATGCAATTATGTAAGGACATAGAAAAACATTTTGGAAAGAAAATACAATATCTTGATGCAGAAGATGCGGATGAAATAGAAAAAATAGGAGTATAGGTTAATAAATAAGAAATACGATCATGCTTTTTATCAAATACGCGTAGATATATTGTAATACTTTCTAAAAGAATAGATATTTGTATTATCAACGTGAATTCTTTGTATTTCTTTTCCAATAGCACATATTATCAACAAATATTATATGTTTACTTCTTTTTGTAATAATTGTATAATATTCTTTATCAATTTAAAATATGGCGATTGGATCAGGAATATATACAGAGTTTAAACAATATAAAAAATAAAGAAATATTTTTATATGTTATACAACAAACAACTCTGCCGCAAAGAAATATGTCCTTATCTTTGTGACACATACATAACTTTATCAATTAATAGAAAAAAACTAATCATTCCTTTCAATTTTAATTTGACCACATGATCTATTAGACATTGATTTTTAATTATACTAAGGAATTATTACAACGATATCGTGGTGATATCACGATTTATATAAGTACAAATAATATAAGTAAAAATCAGTTGTAATCATTAATTAATAATTATAAAGTATTAATTATTGATCATATTGAAGCAAATAAGTTTTGATTGTTGTATCACGCCTTTACCGATATATTTTACACATTACGAGAGATTTATTACAAATGAATCATAAAATAAAAATATTTTAACACAATTTCTTTGATAATAGTGTAAATATAGATATAGCTAAAAATACCCGAAACATACAAATGAATTTAAACTGCAATGGTGTTACAGATTAATGATACAAAATGTACAATGCCATTACTATAATACACTTCGTTTCAAATTAATTTACAAGGATATATGTGACAAAATATTGAAGTACGGCGTGTATTTTTTTGTGGATGAAACTGTATGAATCACCCAATCATTTTTTAATCCAACAAAATTTGTATATTATTATTACATTGTATTTCATAAATGTAAACATTTTTTTTCTATAAAATTCTCTCATTTCGTAAACTTTAGTTTTTAAATAAAAGTTTCTCACTAGATAGGAAATTTTTTTTTTAAAAATGACCATGACATATATTTTAAACATAAATTTATTAAGACTAAACATCGAAATAAACTGTGTGACATCTCCCGACGTTGGAGTTCCTACGTCACTGCAGGTCTCCTCGAGTGTTCAAGTTCTTCTATATCACCAAGTTCCAATTCCAATCATTCTCTCTGGCCGACGACCAGAATGTGTATTAGCCTCACCTGGTATTGAGTCTCCGCAGTGTCCGTTCTTAATATATCAATTCTGAAGATATAAAATCATCAGCTGCAAATCAATGCGGCTAACCAACGGATCGATGGCGATCACCAAGGTTAAAGCATGCACCGTGCGAACCAGCCAGCTCTAGAATGGGTGGCCACCGCGGTTTGCATGCCCAACCTTTGAGAGGCCCCTCCACTCAAGCGTCTAGGTATAGAGGTTGATGACTGCCATCAGACTCACGATAATGAGTAAGTAGTGTTTGGCTGGCGACTCCGAGACGAAACCGCTCCTTTCCCATCTTTATACCCTACTTTACCGACATGATCACAAAACCATAGCACGCCTGTAAGTTCTGACATTTTTATTAAGAATAGCAGAGGATCGTAACACACTTAAAAAAAGTATGAAATAATAAATTTCTTACATCCTATTGCAATGTTTATGTACATTTGCATTATTACTCAATCCATCATGTAGCTGGAAAATTATATAAAAGTGCGTCAGAGGATATTACTCGCACTCTGAACTTTACAATCGTGAACGTCCATTTTCTGATAACTTTTTGCTACTTGAGCAATAAAATGCAATCAATTTTAACAACAGATAATCCAATTTTTAGAATATTTCTAACAAGCGACCCATTCTCCAATTTTTACATATGATACGTAATCCGATTCGTCTCGTCGAGTTTATTTTTTTCTTCTAATTAAACTCTTATTGATAAAGTAAAGCTACATACATTTCGATGTTTTATAGCTGGGAACAAATGACTACTGTTATTTTTAAATGTTGTCGACTAACGTGTAGAAATCAATAAATTAACAAATAAATTATATTGAAAACATTGTCGGGTGGCTGCTGTTCACTTTGTTCTTCTACAATCCCGCGAGCTTTCTTTCGAACGCAAATCAACTAGCAAAGTTAATGTACTTGACGAATCGTATGACGTCTGTCTGCTACAATTAGTGAACAGGCCATTTGTTAGGTATATATCTAATTTTTAGATACATTATGTTCCATCATTGATTCAAAACTGATTAAACTTTATTTTTTTTTTTTT